CCCCAAAACCCCAAAACCCCAAAACCCCTAAGGTCTCACAAGAGTTTGAAAACAGAATTATTTTTTATAAATCTTAAGTCTTTTAGACTTAGATGACTTTAACCTTGTAAAGTCCTTCATGCTGATGGATCTTGGCAAGTTCTGGTTCTGTTTCAGCCTTTTCATACTGGAAGCCTTCGGCGGTACGAAAGCTCTAGTGTGAGAAGCCTGGCTGTCCACAGGAGGCATGTTGATGTTAACATTCAGGTTATTGATGTTGTTCTGGACTGAGTATGAAGGGTCGTCTTGAGGAGGACGTACTGGTCCGAGAATGTCAGATGGAGTCCCAACCAAACGTTTGTTGATAGAGTAGTAGGAATAGTCCTGATCATTGATCCTATTAGAAAGCCCACCGAAATATTTGTACTCTGATTGAGGATTTATGGGATTTTCAGAGGCTGTAGCTATTGAGTTTGACTCATGAATTGATCCCTTGTTTTTGAATAATCTTTCCTCACTAACTGGACGAAGAGAGAGACCTGGCTTTACTCTTGCTGATCCTTGAGCAGTCTTAGCTCTAACTTGTTGGTTTGGAAGAAACCTTCCACTCATCTTGTTTGGAGAATGTCCTTCGGTAATAGTAGCATCTTCATTCATCATCCTTTTCCCATGAGCCAAATTATTTAAAAGATGAGGTGGTACAAAAGATTGAGCTGTAGTCAATGAAGGATGAGAGCTAGTTGGCCTATTCTTCTGCAGATTTAATGTCTTTACACTCTGTGGTCTTTGAATTTCATATGGGAATAAATGCTCATAAAGGAAGAGCAACACTTGCTCATTTGAAATGAGCATCTCAATAACCTTCTTTTTGTCAGTCTTTGTAAAATTTTCATATTTTGGGCCTTTAATCCTTCTATTCTTATTAACAATTTCTGAATTTGATCTGCTAAGCTTCTTTGATTGGTATCCATCCTGCTTCTCTCTTCTCTTCTTGATATCTTTCTTAACTTCTTCAATACAGTTGAGGAAGAAGTCTTCGAGGTCATTTCTATTAGAGAAATAATTCACTTTGTTAGAGTTAGCTTCGATAGTCTTCATCTTCTGTTGCTTGAGCTTATCTCTCAAATTATTGATACGATCTTGATATTTCAATTCATTTTCCTTCAGCTTCTTATTCTCCTCAATAATTTCTTGTATTTGCTCATTTGAGAACAAGACTGCTTGGCTCACTTGAGAACTCTTAATTGAAGGGTTGCTTCTAGGGAAGAATTTATTCCTGGATTCCTTTGAATTTTCTTCATAGAGAGTTACTAATTTTAAATCTTCATTCTCGGTATTTTCAATCACTTCCTTCACAATTGATGGCTCAGGGCCCATTATAGCCTTGATCTCATTCTCTTCTTGGTTATAATACGGTGACGGGGACAAACTTCTTTCAGGGCTTTGAGCATCAACATTTTGATCGAACTGTTTAAACTGTGGAACCATTTCATCCTGAGCTTCAGTATTTGAAATTTCTGCTCTGAGTGGTGAGAGTCTTTCACTGGATTCCACATTGAGTGCTTTATTTGAATCTATCTAGCTCCCAGACGAGGGTTTTGTTTACTTTCTTAACCTTCATGAGTTTCTCTTGGAACCACTATGCCAAATCACAACTATAGCTAACCTTCCTGTCATCTTCTGCATTGTCAAGTTTTCCTTTAAGCTTGTTGATAGCCTTTTTCCTGTCTTTACACATTTTGTCAAGTTCTAAAGAAGATTAGGGATGAAATTGGTAGGTTTACCTAGAGCTTCTCTTCTGAACCAATCACGCTCATTTTGGAGATTGGCCATTCTCTCTTCTTTCTTCATAGACAAAATCTCTTGACTGGTTTTCTCCTTGAGAATTTTCATTTCTTTATTTGATTTCATACATACGTGTCTTCATAACGTTATATAACGTAGCAAATCTCGGAGTTGTAGTTAGCAGAGATAAGCTATTCAGTTCCTTAAACGTATCCTCTATCTCCTTTGCTTTAGGAACTAACTCGTAACTCATTCCTAGTGATTGACCTTCCTTAGCAGGAGGATTCATCCCAGTAATAAAGGTTTTCTCTTTTGTTTTGGATTTCATAATAAATTTCTATGAAATAAAAATTTAAAGGGGTTTTGGGGTTTTGGGGTTTTGGGGTTTTGGGG